AAAATAACCACAAAATATGGGGAGCACAAACACATTTGTCATTTTTTTTGAAAGCAATGTCTTTCACTTTTCCAAAGCACAACTTTGCTTTTCATTGTTTTAAAGGCACAACTATATGTGCTCTTCCTGTTGAAGCACACAGTTATGTTTCTCACAACTATGCTTCATGGAGTAGCATATTTGTGCTTTTCACAGGGTGTGCCTCACAGGTGAAAAAAGTACACTCTTTTTCTTTCAAGAAACCTAGGAAAACTCGAGCAAAATCAGAATAAAACAGAAGTAAAAAACCCAAAAAGCATGAAAAAAAGACCTGCAGATGCATCCAACATGTGACACGTGATGGCTGAAGATTCCCGCACTCTTGCAACTAACCCGCTGGGAAGCCTGCGAGGGGTTACTCATTAATTCGTCCATCCCATACTTGACATCTTCTCTTCCGTTCAACACGGCTCAAGACCTCATTCATCTTTTCTTCTGTTTTTTTCTTTGTTCATTTCTTATATTTTTATTCTATTAATATTTTAGAAAATATTTAAATACATATATTTTGAAACATAAAAAAATAGGATTTTTGAAAATCATGAATTTTAAAAAATGTTAAAATAACGTAAAAAAGTTATCTTAACTAAAAAAATGTAGGTGGCATATGAAAAGTAATATATGTTACGTTTAAAAATGTTCACGTGTTACAAATAATATATGTGACATTATAAGAAAATTAATCACATATGTGAAAAATCATTAAAGGTATATAAAATAAATGTTTCAAATGTATATGGAAAATGTCAATATCATACAAAAAATGTTTTTGACACTTTCAAAGTGTTCATGCTTTTCATAAAACTGTATGTGACATTATTAGAAAATGTTAATCATGTTTTTAGAAAATGTTAAATGTACATCAAATAGATATTCTAGATGTATATGGAAGTGTACAATGTTTATGAAAAAGTAGACATCAAACATGTCTATAATGTTTAAAACCGAAGAAAAAAACAAAGAAAACAGAAAATGTAAAAGAAAATGCTAATCATGTTTTGCAAAATGTTACAAATTATATAAAAAACGTTTTTACGTATACGGAAAATATATTATGCGTATGAAAAAAATAGACATCAAAACATATAGCTAAAAGAAGAATCTTAATTATGTATTTTAAAAGTGTTCGAGGTGCATAGCTTTTTCACATGTGTACTCTAAAAATGTACTCCCATCCTATAATTAAAAATGATCTTATATTATAAAACGAAGAGAGTACATATATACTGAAAAGGACTTGTATTAAAAAGGAAAACCGCAGAAAACTGATAAAGAAACAAAGGAAACAGAAAAATCGAAAGCCGAAGAATAACAATGAAACACAGTGAAAATCCAATAAGACTTGGAAACCATCTGAACACCCCCCAAGCCCCCCAAAGTAAAAAGAAATAATAAAAGAAAAATAAAGAGAAAAACCCTTGAAAACATCTAAAAAACAATAAATAACCCCAATAAATTGACAAAAATTAAAAGAAAACTTAATTTTTGCCCATTTTGTTTATGCAACTCTAGAGTTTGATATCTCGTTTTTGCTACTCTTAACTTTTAACAATGCATCACAAATATCATTCCGTGGCAAAAACAATAATTTTTTATTCACTTTTGCCATTTTTAGCTTTTGACAATGTATCACAATTACCACTCTGCCACTATGGAATCCTAGAATAACATAAGCAAAGTGGTAAAAAACTGGAGGGGCAAAAACAAAGTTTTCCTAAAATAAACTGTAAAGACAAACTCTATTGAAAAGAAGGAATATAAAATGCAAACAGACGGGTGTCACAGTTTCGGAATACACTCGATTCAGGCGTTTCGACGCTGCTAGATTGCCCATGCGCTGTACCTCCCGTTACAGTTTTAATATCTCGGCACCGAATGGAGGGCTCACATGTGCATCTCCCCGTACCGCACGCGGCAGCTCGCTGGCGCCGCCTCGTCGAGCTTGCGACACCTGCCCCTTCTACGTGTTGCATTCTTTACACCACCTCATGAGTCATGACACACTTCACGAAGCTCTCGCTTACATACAGCAGCCGTCGCACGAGCCTCCGCCAGAGACAGAACCACCCACGCAGAAGACGGATTCACGCAACACACCACACGCACGCACGTACGCCGGTGACAAGCGGAAGGAGGACGCCGGCATGGCGAAGAGCGGCACGGAGGAGTGGCGTCGCAACGCCGACACGCACAAGATGAGCCCGGAGGAGGTCCGGGCCGCGGGGGTGGAGGCGTCCATGCGCCCGCCGGGCCGTGGCGGCGGCGCCGGGGAGGTCCTGCACCAGCGAGGCGGCCGCCTGCCGTACGGGCCCGGGACGATGGCGCTGATGGGGTTCGGCATCGTCGGCGCCATCGGCTACCTGGTGCTGTACCAGAAGGCGAGGCCCGGCACGCCGGCCACGGAGGTCGCCAAGGTGGCCGTCGGACACGGCGACCCTGCCGTCGGCCGCGAGGTCCAGAAGCGCCAAGACGAAGCGCAGCCGCCGCCACCGCCACGCGAAGGGAAGTAGACTAGTTTAGTAGCAGAAGAGCTGGAGGATTTGCGGCGTTTGTGCTTCGAGTTACTTCTGACTCGATTTTATCTGCTAGCCGCGCTTCTCAGCTTGGGTACCTTTTGTCGTGGACCATGCACGCGTGTGACTTTCTATCAGAAATGACACAGCAGAAATAAATAATCGTAGATGTATTAGTTGCTTCTAATATTCGAGAAACCGGCAGTGACGAGTAAAGATGTGAAACCAGTATGTTGGGCAGAGTTCACTATCTTTCATCTTTGGGTTGGTCCTGACAGTATGGCAAACTCCAATGCGCAGGTCTAAAGGTGGTTTTGTCCGCTTTTTACCGTTTGGTTCGTCAGTTGGTCGTTGTTCGTCTCGTGTCAGTCAATCTGGGCAGTGCGTCCAATCGGTCTCGCCTCGAGCAATGCTACACTCACGGGGTGTTTACGGGGTTTTACGGGGTTGATTAAGTATTAATGGCTAGGATTTAATTACGGGGTCTCGCGTCTTTCCTTTTTCAAAGTTTTCTAATTTAAACATTTCTATACATATAAATTAAATAAACAACTAAAAATAAAACATTGCACATAATTAATAAATAAGTCACATAGTTTTTTACAACACAATAAATAAAAATCATACCAAATGAATTTAAATTATAGCAAAGACATTGCACAATAAATAAAAATCATACCAAATCAATTTATAATTATAGCAAATCCATTAAAGAAAATGAGGGGCGGCACAGGGACAGCGGCGTACTCACTGGGTGTCGTGGGACATTATGCTAAGGCCCAAATCACATGGCGGCATGGGATTCCGAGATATGAAACTTTTTAATCAAGCGCTGCTAGCCAAGCAGGCATGGCGGCATGGGATTTCGAGATATGAAACTTTTTAATCAAGCGCTGCTAGCCAAGCAAGCATGGAGGCTAATTGAGAACCCCAGAGCTTATGTGCGCAGATGCTCAAGGCGAAATACTATCCTAACGAGTTTTTGGTGGATACGGTCTTCACAGGCAATGCGTCTGTATATGGCCTGATCCTTGGATCCCTCGTGATCAGTCTCGGCGACCAATGAGTCTCGGCGACCAATGACTCCGAAGCGACGGTGCCGACTCAAGTGGGTTTCTGATCTCCTCAATATGGATGGTACATAGAACAATGACCTCCTGCGGCAGCATTTTTATCAGCCAGATATATATAGCATCCTTCAGATCAAGACTTCCAACAGGCTAGAAGCTGACTTCCTTGCGTGGCATCCGAATAAACATGGCTGCTTTTCTGTACGGAGCGCCTATTACCTGGGCTTCGCGAACGCATGGAGGCGCAGGGCTGTGGTGCGTCGAGTATTCGGCCAGACGGACGGCGGCCAGTCTGGGACCTAATCTGGAAGAACGGGGCACCAGCTAAAGTATGTGTATTTGCATGGAGTGCTGCTCGTGAGTCCCTAGCTACTCAAGCTACCAAGAACCGCATGCATATGGAGCAAGATCCTACATGTGTACTATGCGGCCATGCGGTGGAGGATGTACATCATGCCCTGGTACAATGCCCCCATGCAGCGGCACTCTGGGCAGCCATAAGAGACTACTGGGACCTCCCGACCATAAAAGACCTGCGTGATGCCGAGCCCGAATGGTTGTTTCGTCTGCTTGACAACCTGTCTGATGTACAGAGGTTGGCTTCCCTGATGATCATGTGGAGGATTTGGTACGCGAGGAATGAGATCACTCATAATAAACCACCGGTTCCGATCGAGGCTTCGCGCAGATTTCTCACGAGCTATATCACATCTTTGCTTGCGATACAGCAGCACCCGGAGGCGGATTTGACAAAAGGAAAGCAGGTGATTGACCTCTCATGAAGCATGCCGAAGAGCACATGCAATAACAGTAGCGCCGCGCTGGGAGGTTCCCCATGCAAACCATGCAAAACTTAATATTAATGGCGCTTTTGTTAAGGAAAATGGTACGGCTGGGGCTGGCATGATTTTACGTGATCGTGAAGGTGATGTCATTTTTGCCGCGATACGGGTCCTTTTTAACTGTGGTGATCCCTTGGAAGCCGAGATGGCGGCGCTGGATGAAGGACTACAACTTGCTCTTCATTGGACTAACCTGCCGCTGCTTGTTGAAACGGATAGTGGCGAGCTGTTAAAGATGGTGCAGTCGAAAGATAAAGACCGGTCGAGGTATGCGTACCGGGTTAATGAGATCAGAAGAGTTCTGGCTCAAGAAAGGAACATTAGTCTAGCTAAGATCAGCAGGCACGCAAATTTGGCGAGCCACACCCTAGCTTGTATGGGTCGCTCGCAACAGCGCACGGCATGCTGGCTCCGGAATTCCCCTAGGGAGATAGCTAGCATTGTCGAATCTGAATGTAATCATCATAGTTGATCAATGAAAAGTTCCTTTCCCGCAAAAAAAATAAAAAATAAGAAAATATAACTATAGCAAATACATTGAAAGAAAAAGGGCAAATGTATTCATTGATTTTCTATGTAAGTCATATAATTGATTTTCTATGTAAGTCACATATGCTTGAACATGCTCGAACTGTTGGAAATATCAGCACCGTTTCGATTAGACTAATCTACGAGTAAATTATAAACATGAAAATGATAATATACATCTTATATCGATATCTATGAACGAACAGAAATGAAACATCTATAAACATACCATATACGACTAGCACATGAATGAGTAACTATCTACGAACATATAGAAATGAAACATCTATAAACATACCATATACGACTAGCACATGAACAAGTAACAATATAGACGGCTAGTACATGAACTGAGTAAACAAGGGATAAACATATCATATCCTCCGATTGGCCAGGTCAATGTGGGGTGGTGGCAATAGCAGCCTCGGCGTCATTCGTGGCCTTTTCTTGACGTCTGCGTCTTCGATCATGATGTTCGTCTTCGATCATGATGTCAATGCAGGGGAAGTAGTGAAAGTAGAGGAGGGCGAAGTCGGGGACGGATCACGAGCAGTCGTGTCAAGTTCCAAAAGCCTTATTACCATTCTTCCGGATAGAATCTCGAACGACAAGGTCCCAAAGGCACCCGCTCTCCTTACCAACCGTGCACGCGATCATCAGGATGGGATTGCCGGAAGCAGCACACTAAAAGGAACAATAGATGGCAGTTAGGGTTTGCAGGAGGGAGTTAGTGAGTTACGTTTCACTCCACATGCCAACGCCTCCTTATGTAGTCCACGAACAGCTCACGATTCGACGTCTCAGACAGTGGCACTTTCGTTAGCCACTCATTAATTAATTAACCATTTTGATCGGCAAAAATAAGGACCGACTCGGCTCATTCCCGCAACCCGCGGCGCACGTGCTTCGTGGCGGGGCATGGCGAGGCGAAGCGGGTGGCGGAGAAGGAGGAGCGCGTGTACAACTCCTCTTCTCAAGCTCCGAATGACTGAGGTAGAGCAACCCTTATAAAGGGGTCTCACTCTTCTTACTGCAACAGTATGGTAGTAAACTTCCCACCTCTTGTCATGCACCTAAATGGGCCTTAGAGATTAACCAGGGATTGTTGTCTTATATGGATCAAAGCCCATCTATAATTCAACTATCCCCCACTAGATCTCGAGGCACATGAGTTTATCAACTGTTCCAAGCAATATTTGATATACCCAAATTTTCAGTGGAACTGTTAAGTTGAATTTCAATCTAGAACAATAGGATGAGACTTCTTCACAACTGAACAATGGACTATGCCTTGAATTGCCAGTTTAGCGTGCAAAAGTTTCGCGTATTATCCGCTGATACGTGGCTGCCAAAGGCTAAACCCCACGGATGGAGTTTATTAGTCATACTCCTACCTTCTCATGAGCTTCCTAGAGATTACCCAATCTCATAGACTGCGACCAGCAGTTGGACTCACATATGTGTGTTCCTCCAAAGAATGCTCTGTAAGATAGTATCTTGCTTACACAAGCTTTGGAACACATTAAGACAAAAGTCAGTCTGCCTTACAGATTACGAGAGTATTGCATCTCCAACAGAGTGAGTTAGTAAGGATACTCTCCTCAGTTGATCACTGAATTCTTTTCCCTGTCCTAATTCACGGAATCTCCGATCACATAGGTCGGGTTATCCCCATGGGTCTTATGCCTATCTCCCTCAGTGCATTTTCTATCACAATACGTGATACCCCTTTCGTAAAGCGATCCGCTAGATTCTTAGCCATGCTATCACTCCGGAGTTTCTAGAATGTCGAACGGATTTTAATCTTCTTCTTTTGTGCTTTGTGGATTGCATGTTGTCCTTTGAACTCTTAGCCTTAGCAATCATTGTTTGATTATCAAATTCATAAGGATAGTCGACATCGGCTTATCAACGACTGACAAATCTATCAAGAGCTCTCGAAGACATTCTGCTTTGACGCAAGATGTATCTAATGCTGCGAGTTCTACTTCCACAGTCGATCTTGTTAAGATCCCCTGCTTGCAAGACTTCCAGGAAACAACACCACCATCAAGTGTGAAGACATATCCACTTGTGGCTTTCGTCTCATCAATATCAAATATCCAATTTGAATTACTATACCCTTCAAGTACCGCCGGGTACCTAGAATAGTGAATTCTGTAGTTCATAATACCTTGCAAGTAACACATGACTCGCTCAACAGCATGCCAGTGCACAACTCCCAGATTGGAAACAAATTGGCTTAGTTTACACACAGCAAAAGAGATGTCAGGCCGAGTAGCACAAGCTAGATACATGAGTGAACCAATCACTTGAGAGTATCTCAATTGATCTACAACTATGCTTTTGAACTTTCGAATCCGCATGCTAGGATCGTGTTATAGAAGGTTTGCAGTCCAAATATCCAAAATGTCTCAAAATCTTCTCAACATAGTGGGATTGCAAAAGTGTACACCCTCATTATCTCTCCGTAGCTTGATGTTCAAGATAACATCAACCACACCCAGGTCTTTCATCTCGAAGCTATGAGATAGAAAATCCTTGATCCCTTTAATGACTTTGAGGTGGGTCCCAAATATCAGTATGTCATCGACATACAAACATAGTATAACTCCTTCACTCCCACCATAGAGATAGTATACAAATTTGTCAGCTTCGCTAACAACAAAGCCTCTAGATGTCAAAGTTGTATTGGACTTCTCATGCCATTGCTGTGACGCCCGGGTAATTAAACTACAGTAACCCTCTACTAAGGATGCCACGTCACCTCGGTTACTGTTGATAATCTCGCATTAGTTTGAAACCGATTCGAATTCAAACTTGAATTTTTGGCAAACAAACAAAGTTTTCAAACTTTAAAACAAAATTGTTCGGACCGTGTCAAATATTGCATAGATAATTATGGTGAAGAAACAAAACTTCTATAAATTATTCCAATGCACTAAAATAATTAAAACAGCAGCTAAACCTATTATAAATGCCCTTTTGAAATTTATAAAAATGCGAACTAAATATTTAAAAGAAAAAAAATTCCAAAATATATTATGGAAGTGGGCTAATTTGCAAACCTCCATTTAGGTACTGGTCTTATAAATTTACAAAACTGAAAACTATTAAAAACTATAATAGAAAACAGAAAAGTAAAATAAAATAAAAACAGAAAAGAATATAAAAAAAAGGGGGACCCCCACTAGGCCTCGGCCCAGTTGGCCATCGGGCCAACCAGGCCGGCCCAGCTGGCACCTACAACACCCCTGGGGCGACCGAACCCTAGCCCGGCCACCCCACTCCCCCGCACGATCCCCACTCCTCCCCCACGTCTCTCTCCCCCTCGTCTCGATCTAGATCGGGGCCGCGCCCGATCCCG